AATCGCCATCCCTCGCTATCAATCTGGTAGTCGGAGACGAAATGAGAGGGAGGAGGGGGAGTTGCGCGACTGAAGAAAAAGAAGAAGAAGAGGAAAAGAGAAGAAAGAAAAAAAATCTAGAGCTTCTAGACCATTTCGGTTCGATTCGAACTGATTTGGTCCAAATTATTGATTTGGCTCGATTTTTACTTGGTTTGCATGTTTTCACTTGGTTTTTAGGTTATTCGTGTGGTTTTTGAAAAATCAATTTGATTTCTGGGTCCAGTTCAATTTATTTTTGATTATTTTAGTTAGGTTCTGTAACATTTCCTCCATTTACTCAATAATAATAAAAATATTAATAGTAATGATATGTGATTTTAGGATAATTAATTTATATATATTTAGTAATGATATGTGATTTTAGGATAATTAATTTATATATATTTATAATAGATTAATTGCTGGAGTTTCATATTATTTCTCAAAAATTTTAATTGTCATCAAATCGAAAATTCTAACAATATATTTGGGCTTGGGCCCAACTCACAAAATTTTGGACTCAAATTAAGATTGTTAGTGTTTATAGCCCATATAGTTGAAATTCAAGATTTTTGATTTAATAAAAATTCGAAAGTTTCGAAAATAAAAATTCGGGGTCTTTCACCTGGTCACATGGAGAAGTAAGAAGCAGGCTATTGTTGCAAGGTCCAGTGCAGAAGCTGAACATAGAGCTATAGCATTGGGAATTTATGAACTTCTATGGTTGTGCAGATTAATAGAAGAGTTAAAGTTGGTTGAACAAATATATCTTTATTTGTTGATAGTAAAAAGCAGCCATCAGTATTACGAACAATCCATCCAGGGATGATCGAACTAAGCACATAGAGATTGATCGTCACTTTATTAAAAGAGAAGATAGTGAAGGTTTTATAAGTGTCTCTTATATAGTTTTCAAAGAGCAACTAGCTGATGTTTTCACAAAAAGGGGTTTGCATAGCAAGTTGTTTTCATCGTCTTTAGTTTGCAAGTTGGGCCATGAGAATATCTATGCACCAACTGAGGGGAGTTGTTGAAATCTTTTCGTGATTAAGTAAGTATTGTGTTTCCTAGTTTTAGGTTTATTTCCTAATTTTAGTTTAAAGATTGGTGTTTTCTAGTTAGTTTTTCCTATTTTAGATTACTTGCTATATTGGAACATTGTTCTATATATATAGTGACTTAGAGGTGAAAAATAAATAACACCAATTTGAAACAAATAAAACATATTCTTTCCTTTAATTTCTACAGTTCTATATATATATATATATATAATTTTTTTTTTTTGTGGCCTACTACGGGGATATATATATATATAAATTTTTTTTTTTTGTGGCCTACTACGGGTTTTAGTAGCTTTAAGCCTACTCAGGTCCTAGTGCTGATCCAGCCCAAGGTAACGAATCGTGACAGAATTTATTCATCTACATCGAGTTTCTCAGTGATTCAAAAAAATTTCACATTCTTTGAAGCAAATGAATATATTTAGTATTTATAATTTCTAAGTTGAAGCTGCCTTAACTAGCACATTGAGAATTATCTACACCATTTCGATGAAAAACTTAAATGCGTGAAGAAATTGGTAGAAGGATAGACATCATCATCTATCACTTTTTGTTTCAAAGGTTTAAGCAAACATACTTGTAGCCATTATAAGCAACACAGTACGCAAAGTCTGTTGTAGATGAATCTTCAAACCCAAAAATATCAGATAAGAGAAGTATGCCAATTCCACTGTTATTTTTCATTGCCTTGAAGAGGTAAGCACGGATTGTATCAACACCATCACCTATTGACAGTTCCATTCCATTGACTAACTCGCATGCCTCATCATTTACGTCATCTTCAACTTTCAACAAATTACAAGAAACTTTATGGGAGACATTCTCTGTAGGGCACCTTTTGGTGAAATGACCTCGAGAGTTAGAAGAACTTTGGAGTTAAACGTACTTGCTTGAGGGAAACAAAACCATGCGAATCTTGTCCAAATTCAATATGGACAGAATTGACTTGATATAAAATGAACAATTTCTCTAGTGGTTGGAGTCAGGACGTGATAGAAACTCAGGGCTTTGTCAATGATTTATCGACTGAAGTGAGTTATTAAGGAAAATGGGTAGATTTTCTTTTTCTTTTTAGAAAAAAAAAAAGAAAAGAAAAGAGAAGAAAGGAAAACCGGAGAGATTAGATATCATAAAATTGAATTTTATAATTCCTTTTACTTATAAAAAATTGTACATGTAATTAAAAATTAAAAAAAAATATATTGGTGAAGATTTTTTTTTTTGGCTAAATACATAATTTCACCCCTGAACTTTATAACCTTAACCTTATGGCACCTTGAACTTTGCAAATGATTTATCATGCATTTGAACTTGTAAATTTTTATAATATTACGCCCTTTTTGACACTAATATAAATAATATTGAGGTTTTTTTCGCTTTTATATGTAAGATATCGACTTGATATGTAGTTAGCATAATTTTTGCGATAATAATTTTTAGCAAATGTAACTTTTTAATGAGTGTTTAATTGATCTAAATTTTACAAGTTGAAGTGTTCAGTAGAGTAATTTTAACAATTGAAGTATTTAATAGATGTAGTTTTATAAGTTAAAGTGTTTGATGAGTCAAAGTAAAAGTTGAGAGTGCCACAAGGTTGAAGTTGCAAAGTTCAGCGGTGAATTTATATATTCTGCCCAATTTTTAGCTTAAAATATAATTAATTCATCAAATCATAAAAAAATAGTTGTCCAAAAATGAAACTAAGTTAAATGCTTCTAAAAAAAAAAAAAAGTTAAATCAAAGCTTAGATATATTTATAAAGCAACACGATATACAAAATAAAATAAAATAATTAATTACTTCTCGAATTTCAGCCATATATGTGGTGGATAGAAGGTGACTACAGTTTAAATATAAACCATAATCTTGCTCTTAATTTGATGATGAAGGCGGTCACAAAGATTTGTACTGTCCAAAAGTTTCTTCTTTGCTTCATTCATTTCATAACAAACAAAATCCATATTCCAGAATAGAGAGAATTGAGATTGATTGAGGGTAAGAGAGAAATTGATTGTTTTAAACAAAAAGTGCCTATTTTAGGAGAAAATAATTTATTACTCCATAAAATTTGAATTTATGGCAGAACATTTGCCATAACTGAAATAAAATTATGTTAATTGAAGTCATACATATTTAAAGAAATAAATTAAAATATTATCGATACAACTTTTGAAATTTTTATTCTTCATTTTGATTTCTCAATAAAATATATAAACAAAGAAAACAAACATTTAATGCACAAAATCCAAAATAAATATTTGTAATCCAATTCATTATACATTTTTGTAAATATGGTTGGTTATTAAAATTTAATATTTTATGTTGATGCATTTATTTTGCCTCATGCGTTAGAAGGAAACAAAATGAAGAATTCTTTAAAGAACTTTTTGAAATTGTAATGCTTTATTTTCATTACCGACAAAAATTAGAAATAAAAAAAGTAATTGAAACACTTATTAACGTACAAAATCTCATAAATCTATCAATGATCTCATAAACATTTCTGTAATCTAATTCTCATATCTTTTTTAATAATCATTTTATTACAGAAATTCACAATTTCAATGTTAATCATTGTTCTGAGAAAAGGATCGATCAATGAATCAGTGAAGATAGTAGTTCACTGAATTGGAGACTGACCGAATTCAATACGGTTCAACTGGATTTTTATATATAATATTTTTAAATATATTTGTTAAATAAAATTGAAAATATAGGTTACAAAAAAATTTTAATCTCAAATAAAAACAGTTTCAAATTTGGCTTTTACAAAAAATAAAAAAATAAAAATTAGTAAATAACTTTAAATAAAAAGAATAAAATATGACTAAATTTAATACTAAAAAAATTAATTAATTATCATAAAATATATTATTATTTTTTACATGTGACTTTAAAGTTAGGCAATTTAATTATTTTAATTATCATAAAATATATCATAAAATATATTATTATTTTTTACATGTGACTTTAAAGTTAGGCAATTTAATTATTTTAATTAACATATTAGGACTTTGACTTTACAAATAAAGAGGCCCAAAAATTTAAAAATTAGTGGGCCCAATTTTTAAGAGCCCAAATTTTAAAAAGGCTCACATTTTATGAAAAATCCAGAATTTAAATCAAATCGATTTTTAACCGATCCGGTTCACCGACTTTTAGCTGATTTTCATATGATTTTTACCGGTTCAAGCAGATTTTTAGACTCGATTTTCTTATACAACTCGGACTAGACCACAGTCCAATTTTTTGTTAAACCGATTGGACTGATCGATCTGGCCCGATTTTCAGAATAATGATGTTAATGTATGCACTAGTCCTTGTACCTTACAAGGAAATAAAGTGAGGAAACATTCAAAATTTTCTAAATTGTGATTTTTTACTTTATTAGAGAAGTATAATTTTAATGTTAATGCATGCATTAGTCCGTGTACCTTAGAAGGAAATAAAATGAGAAAATATTCACAAAATTTTCTAAAATTATGATTTTTACTTTCACCGTAGAATTCACAATTTTCTTGTTAATGTATGTACTAATCCTTGTACCTCATGAGGAAATATTAACAAAATTTTTTAAAATTATGTTTTTTACTTTCATTTTCCACCAAAACTAAAAGAAAAATGTTTGAAATCTGAACTATGACATATATATCACCACTAATGAGAATATTTGTAATCTAATTTATTATCCTTTTTCTATAATTTGGATTTATACAAGATCACTTACCAAGAAAAGTAATTAATTATTGAAGAAATCTAACAAAAAAATATGTTCAATTAATCTAATAGAAATCCAACAATTTATTGCTTTCACAAAGATTAAAATTTTAACACATTCATATTTAGAAAAACATCAAATCTAATAGAAATCCAACAATTTATTGCTTTCACAAAGATTAAAATTTTAACACATTCATATTTAGAAAAACATCAACAACTTAGCATTTCATAAAAGATAAATAGATATGTGTGTTAAGCAAGTGTGATCAAGCAAGATCTCAAATAAAAAGTAGATAAACACAAGAGATTTATAGTGGTTCGGCACTAACCCGCCTACATCCACTCTTCAAGAACACCTCTTGAGATTCTCCACTATGTTATCTATTTTTAAGAGTAAGAGAGAAACCAACATTACAAAGGAAACATATCAATCACCTAGATTTTACCTTTAACCCATTATATTTTTTAAGGTTCTAGTTAACCTCTGCCATTCTATTTTGTAGAGCTCAGAAAACTCAGATTCAAGATATTAAATCTCATAGAAGAAGGTTGCTTGATAACTCTTACAACTTAGCTTTATACCCAAAGCTACACACAAACGATTTTCATTTGAGAAACTCTAGCCTACAACAAATTACACAAAATTTATATAGACAGAGAGAAAATCAAAGATAAGCACAAGAATAGCAGAATTAAAAATCAGAGAAGAAAATTAAGTGCAGAAACTATTCTTCAAAAATAGTTGTTGAAAACTTCTTTTTTTCATCTTAAAAATATTAAATAAGATTGGAGAAGAAAAAAAATAGCAGGTTGAAGAGAAGAGCTTTGATAAATTTGAAAATTTGGATCTCTTTCTCTTGGTTTGCAATCTGAAGGACTAAGCTTTTCATAGTTAGAGGCATATTCTTCCCATTAGAAAGTCCAATCTTAAAAAATCTATTTACAAGGAAATCTCGCTGACGTGGTGGTTAAAAGAAGAAAGGCTTGAAAGGATATAAAAAATGTGTCAATTATCTATTTGTGTTGATTTTAAGAAAACTAATTTGGTGAAACACAATTTTACTAAAATCAATTGGCTTTTTATTAAAAAGTTACAATTCTATCATAACATAATAATTTTTACAGAAATATTTTTTATTTGACTTTTCTTTCAAAATCTTTTTGCATATACCTCTTATCTTTTGATTTCCATGAACACCAGTCTCAAAGTAATTTTCTCTCTAAAATTTTCAGTCAGAAGTATTTAAAATCAAATTTTGAAAGAATGATTTTAAAATGAATTTTTGTGCTTGTAATCCATATAAATCCCTCTATGCTACATGAGCCCTAATAACCCTTATATACTAACCTTCCTAACTAATAATTCTTCAATTATTCTTCAAGGTATTCAATGATCATCCTTGGGTTATTAGAACATAATCTTCACTTTTTCAATATCAAAAAATTTGTAGAAAAGACTTTAGCATACAATAAAATAAAATTTATTTATTTTGTTATTCATCAAAGTCTTTAAGGTATGTAACCTTGAGCCAACATTAGAACATTCTTAGTTATGACCAATTAAAAGATTTTAATCTAAAAATATAAATAATATTTGATTAATTGTAATATTTGATATTTGATTTACCTAAAAAACTTAATAATTTATGGTTCATATATATTGATATTACAATTCTATTTAAAAATTAAACTAAATTATATATAGATATTGATTATGATTATTAATTAGTTATTATATTCACGTTGATATCAATTTAAAATCATATTTTAATATTATAAAACATAAATAGTATAAGAGAAAAATTATAACTAATACTATATATTATATAAAAAAATAAATGAGTAATGATAAGGTACAACATACCTCATACTAAAACGCTGGTTGACTTAAAATGGTATGGGATTACATTCATGAAGCCATTTATTAGTAGGATAAAACAAATTTAAAATGAAGATCAAATATACTATCTTTAGAAGCGAGAAGAAAGGGCTCGTTGAAAGGGAAAAGCATTCATGAAGAGAATGTTGATAATGACTGTCACAACGAAGAAAATGCGATGTGGGCTACAGCAGATGATGCTACCAAAGCAAAAATAAAAAGAAGAGTTAAGGAGCTATTTAGAGAATCATATGAAAACCTACTCAACTTCTTCAATCATGCTCCTCAAGAGCCATAAGGTATAGTTTACCCATTATCAAAATGTAAAGACATTACGATTTTATTGAATCGATGGTATAGTAAGATCATTAAATGCATATGATTATATAATTAATAAATTTTAAAGCTTGTTAAAAAGTTTGATATGACTTTGGAAAGATCAATGCAAATAATGAAGTTTTTAAGGTCAAGAAGATTCTAATTTCATATATGCATACATGTCTCTTTATATTTAAATGTTAATTTTGTATTTGTCATAGTAATAAAAAAGTAACATGGAGAAGTGGAAGAGGATTGGCAAGAAGAGAGAGGTGAAAGCATGATAATAATGAAAGAGATGAAACTGGAAAGAGATCTGTAAGAAAAGGAAGGCAAAGAAGCACACAAAAAAAGATGAAATGAAAAAAAAACCACAAGAAGATGGAGACAAAATGATGATAAGCATGGACATATCAAAATGGAATGAAATCCACAAGAAAATGGAGGAAAAAGTATAATAGAAAAGAAAACATGGAATGGAAAGAAATTTGCTAAAAATGGGAGGCAAAAGCATGATAGGAAAACAATAGATAGTACTGGAAGGAAATCTGCAAAAAGAGGGAGGTGGAAGGATGAAAAAAATAGAAAAGATGAAAGTGGAAGGTAATCTACAAGAAAAGGGAAGCAAATGCAAAGAAAGGATGAAAGTAAAAGAAAATCCATAAGAAAAGGGAGGCAAAAGCATGATAGGAAAATAAAAGATAATAATGGAAGATAATTGACAAGAAGAGAGGCAAAACTATCATCATTGATGATAATCCAGATAGTGAATCACTTTCGATATCAGATGATTTTGACAATGAAGTTATGCTTATAGATAATCCGGTCTACTATGATTTTCACTCTTTTTAACTAAGTCTTGCCTAGAAACTTTGATTTCAAAATAGAAAGGCTTAAAAAATTACTATTATAGTTATTGGTTCTTATGACTTAGTTACGACAATCAATAGTAGTTTTTTTAGTCTTTTTATTTTGAAATTAAAGTTTCCAGGCAAGATTTAATTACAAAGAGTGAAAATCATAATAGATCGATTATCCATAAGCATAACTTCATCCTCTAAATCATTTGATATTGAAAGTGTGGATTCACTATTTGGGTTATCATCAACGATAATAGTTTTGCCTTTCTCTTCTTGTCATTTATCTTTCATTATTGTCTCTTATTTTCTTATCATGTTTTTGCCTCCCTTTTCTTATGGATTTTCTTCTACTTTCATCTTTTCTTTGCCTTTGCCTTTTTTTTTTTTTCTTATAGATTACCTTCCACTTTCATCTATTCCATTTTTGTCATCCTTCCATCTCCCTCTTCTTGCATATTTCCTTCCCATACCGTCTAATGGTTTCCTATCATGCTTTTGTCTCCGATTTCTAGTAGATTTTCTTCTATTCCACATTTTCTTTACCTATTATACTTTTCCCTCCATTTTCTTGCAATTTTTTTTTCCATTTTGATCTGTTCCATGCTTGTCATCATTTTGTCTCCATCTTCTTCTGGAATTTTTTTTCTATTTTCATCTTTTTTTTTGCCTACAACTTTTTTGTCTTCCTTTTCTTACAGATCTCCTTCCACTTTCATCTCTTCCATTATTGTCATGCTTTCGCCTCTCTTTTCTTGCCAATCCTTTTCCACTTCTCCCTATTACTTTTTTATTACTATAATAAATATAAAATTAATATTTAAACATAAAGAGATATATATGTATATATGAAATTAGAATGTTTTTAACCTTAAAAACTTCATTATTTGCATTGATCTTCCAAAGTCATCTCAAACTTTTTAACAATTATTAATTATATAATCATATGCATTTAGTAATGTTATTTTACTGTTAATTCTCTAAACCGTGACGTCTTTACTTTTTGGTAGTGAGTAAACTATACCTTATGGCTCTTGAGGAGGATGATCGAAGAAGTTGGGTAGGTTTTCATATCATTCTCTAATAAGCTCCTTAACTCTTCTTTTCATTTTTGCTTTAGTAGCATCATCTGATGTAGCCCACATCGCATTTTCTTCATTGTAATAATCATTGTCAACATTCTCTTCACGAATGCTTTTCCCTTTCAATGATCCCTTTCTTCTCGCTTCTAAAGATTGTATATTTGATCATAATTTTATATTTGTTTTAAGCTATTAATAAATGACTTCATGAATGTAATCCAATACCTTCTTTATCTTTCAACTCATCAATTTTCTCCACAGCCTTTTTCAAGTCGAACATTTTCTGTACATCACATTCACAACAGTTTAATCTAATCTTTAATAGCTTTATTATTTCAATTTTATTAAATACTGAGATGTTTATTTAATCATTCAAAAAAACTGAGTGTCAGATTCAAAATAAGCATCTTAATATTTAATCATTCTTAAAATTGACTACCAACTTCTCTTATTAACTTCAAATTAATGCGTTAAGTGACAAAAACTAATAATATTATATTCTGAATTCTAACTCTAATCCTCGATAATAATTTCATTGCATAGACTTGTATGATGACCTTGTTTGGATATTAATTGTGATTTGCATATGCATAACAGTGAGCTTGATCTAATCCTTCGAATAAATAATTTCATTGCATAGACTTGTAATGATGACCTTGTTTGAATATATTTGCATATGCATAACAGTGAGCTTGAAAAGCTTGATAAATGTAAGAAAATATGTGCAGCAGGAGGAAAACATAAAGAACTTCATCCATGAGCATGATCCTTGTCATAGATCCTATATAAGAAAATTTCAAATACAAACTAAAATAAGTAGCAATTTATTCTCTAATTGCTTAATGAACTTAACTCTAAAATTTGATAAAACTCTAATTACGAATGTAAGAGATAATAGGAGTCTAAAAATTAAGCTTAAATCAAAAGATTGTGTTAATCTCATATTCCTTGATAGCATGATTTCTCCCAATTTCAATAGACGTGACACCCATTAGCAATCAAAGAGATGCATATTTGATGAAACTGATTATGCATTGGCTAAAAGACAAGAAAGACAGGCTGATCACATTTTGTTGGTCACAAAAAAATCAAGAATTAAGAATTACCCATTAATGACAGATCATTCATACCTTAAAAATATATGATGATAGAAATTGAAAAAAAGAATTACCCATTAATGACAGATCATTCATACCTTAAAAATATATGATGATAGAAATTGAAAAATATCAGATCTCTTGAACTGAATCACCATTAACGCAATATTAAAGCAAAAGCCAAGAAATAGATTAACTTTTTAATCTATTGTTAATGCAAAAGCTAAGAAAATAAAAGGCAGTTTTCTATTCCTTTAACAATTTTCCATGAAATCTGTTATTAAAATCAAATATTAAGTAGTTTTTAAGCAGTAATGAAAATCGAAATGTAAAATCAAAATGGAAAATCACACATAAACAAAAATGCTAGAATAGTTGCTAAAAATCAAAATGTAAGATCAATAAAACATGAGAAATCAAATTAAGTGAATGAGTTTTCTATCAAAAAAGAAAAAGAAATTGGAACCTGGTGACTATGGAACAATTAGGTCACTGGAGAAGCTATATCGATGATGACTTAGGGTTAGAGGAAAGGGGAGATGAGCGGGAGAGTAAATCGATCGATCGATAGCGATAGCGCATGTCAACATTATATAGAAATTGGAATCTAGTGAGTATGGATCAATTAGGTCACTGGAGAAGCCATGAAGGAGGCAGTTGGGAGGAAAAGGTGAATCAATGATGACTTAGGGTCAGAGGAAAGGGGAGAGGAGTAGAAGAACAAATCGATAGACCGGGAGAGATAGCGTAGCGACATTATATAGAGCATACCCTATTTTACTTTTCCAATTTACCGATAAAATTTTTTTTCGGTAACTGACAAAATTTTTATTGGTAAAGTTTTAAAGTTAATAAATTAAATATATATACCGACTAAATTTCACTCGGCCTTTAGTTGACAATTTCATTTACCGATAAATAATTCTGTCGGCTTTCTATCAGAGTTTAGTCCCATAAAATATTAGCGCCAATATTACTTATCGATTACCTATAAAATTATTTTGTTGCAATTAATTACTAAATTACTACCAAATTCTGTCATTTTTTTCTCAATTTAATTCTGTCGTTTTTTCTGTTATGTAGTTAAATACCTATAAAAATAATTTTGTTCGGTAATTTCTATCGGTATATAATAATTTTTCCGTAGTGTAATAGTTACAATGCCTACTTATATTTTAACATTTTCATTACCCATTTGTAAAATTTAACAACTAAATCCAAAAAATCTAAAAAGACAAAATATGTATCATAAATAATATTAAATCTTTAGCACATGTCTTCACATCCTGAATTTTAGTTCCATACAAAGACAACTTAATACAACAATTAAGAAAATAAACTATAAAAAAATTCATAACAAGATATTATATTTACCTTGAAATTAACTAATATTTTCTTTCATAAATAGTCATTCTTTTCTTCATTTCAGATAGCTCCATTGAATGACAATCAAATATAAGTATTTTCACAAAATACTTTCATTAGAAGAAATAAACCAACCGTTATTTGGTAATTTAGCTGGAGCAAAACTTACTTATAATTTTGGACTATGTGTAATAGCAATTTTGGACTATGTGTAATAATAATAATACTAAGAATAAATAGTCATTTTGAAATTAAAATTTAAACTTTGACTATAATGAAAACTAAAAAAAAAAAATAATTGAGACAAAAATTAAAAAGACGAACCTTGTAATGTGATTTTAAGGAGGATAAATAGTATAGAAAACCTTTTTTTTGTTGTATCTTAGTTTCTTATGTTGTAAACAAACCTAATTAACAATTTTTATAATAATTAATATTTATTTTATATAAAAAAAGACTTGCAAGATACACTCTTTTATTTAATAACTAGTCTTTTTTACTTGCAAGATATATTCTTTTAATTTTTTTTTATCTATATAATACTAAAACATAAGTTTTTTTTTACTTGCAAGATATATTCTTTTAATTTTTTTTTATCTATATAATACTAAAACATAAGTTTTTACTTAGATTAAAATAAATGCAAAATTGCATAATTTATATTAGAATTTGCCGTATAAGTTGCTTATAATGTTACTTCTTATATATTTAATTTTATTTTTTTTATAACGAAGGGGTTTGAAAATAAAATTCAATCCGATTCCCAAGCCTAATCCTTCAGTCCCTAATTTATAAATGCAGATTCTTAAAACTTTAATAATTAAGTGCCCAAAAAGAAAATCAAGTCATACTTAGTCTCCAACCTCCTGCCCTCAACCCAAATCAATATATATATATATACAACTATAATGAAAAATAATAAAAAAAATTCTTTACAGTTAAATAAAGAAAATAAATGAGAAGATGGTCTAAATTGATAATGGTAATTACTTTGACTACAGTAACAGTATTACTTACCCAGTGCACTAAAGAAATGAATATATGCACATACAAATTCGTAAAACCCCAAAAGTGATCTAAAATATAGATATAAAATTCTAGTTTTTTTTCAATTTCAAAAACATTATTTTCTTTTAAATCAAACTGATTTAGAATATAATAGAAAAAATATCTAGAAAATTAAAAATGTTTAATCATAAAGATGCCATCTATTTATTGCAGGGGATATATAAATCTCATACTAAATTAAAGTGATAGTAGTTACAAATTAATTTAGTAACGAAAAAAATAAAAACAAAAAATTTATTAATAATATAACTCTTTTCAAAACTCAACATATAATAAAGAAATAAATTATATTAAAAAATTATCAATTTAAATTTCAAAAATTAACCCCCTCTTTAAGTGGAAAGGTTGCAATTTATTGAAATTTAATGTTGATGGACAAAAAAAATAAAATAAAATACTATTGCTAAGTCAGTAAATGAAAATTACAAAGCAAATTATGCTAAGATCTAATTTTATTTCTCCATTTTTCTAAGTTGCAAATTTAAAATAAATGATTTAATTAATTAATTAATAAAAAAGATTACATAAAAGGAATGGTCTATCCTCTCCAAATAAATCATCAATTTTCCCTACAACTATATAGAAAAAGAAAAGTATACTTTTTCTTTCATATTTTTAAAACAATATGTCCAATCAAAACATACAAACATAAATAAAAAAATAATATTAATAAAAATAATATTTTTTTTATCTCGCTCCTAAATAAAAATATTTTAAATTATAATCAAAATTAATCAAATATTTAATAATAAAATATAAAAATTTTCAAATGTCTCATTATCATGTATATTTATTAAAAAATAAATTTAAAAAAGAATAAACTTAAAATTTTAAAATTCTAATTATTTCTATCTATTTATATAAAAATAATTTTTATAAATTATATCCAAACAAATAATAAAATGTAATTTTTTAATTGGCTTTAACTAAGATTATTTTAGCATATTCTAAATTTCAAACTAAAAAAGATAAAACATAAAATTTTAAAATTCTAATTATCTATATGAATTTATTTAAAAAAAATAATTTTTATAAACTATATCTAATCAAATAATAAATGTAATTTTATAATTTTCTATGACTAAGATTATTTTAGAATATTCCAAACTTCATCAAGGATATTATCGAAAATCTCATTGTTCCCCATATTCTCACATTTATATATAGTATACATAAGAAATGTGGTGATTTGCGTTGCACCCTTTCTCTTTTAAATACAAAGAAACCAAAAAAAAAAAAAAAAAAAAAAAAAAAAAAAATACAAAGAAACGCAAAAAAAAAAAAAAAAAAAAACTCAGCCTTCAATGTGGCCGAATAGCAACCAATAAGACAACATTCAACCATCCTCGCACCATAAAGAAAAAAAAAAAAAAAAAAAAAAAACTCAGCCTTCATGTGGCCGAATAGCACCAATAAGAACAACATTCAACCATCCTCCAACCATAAAAGAGGGAAACTCTATTATCCTCGCTCTATGAACCTTATATGATAAAAAATATAATTTTTTATTTTATCCAATAAAATTTAAGTTTAAATAAGAAATTAAAATAACAAATTAAAATTAAATTATCTTTTTTTTCAAATAAATAAAATTAAACTCAAATAAATAAAATATAACAACTTCAAAAGGTTTGATGAAGAATCTTTTATTTGTTGTATACACCTTTCAAAATGTATAGGTCAACTTGGAACAATTATTAAATTAATTCAATATTTTTTATTTATTTTAGGTTTCTTCAATAATTAATATTATACAAGAATGAAAAAAGTTTGAATAATTAATATTATACAAGAATCGAATTCATATGATTAAATCTATATAATTAATATTATATAAAAAGTTTCAATTAATATAATTTCTCTTTACTTATGGTAAGTGTTCTTGTATAAATCCAAATTATAAAAAAAATAATAAATTAGGTTTAAAATATTTCTTATTAGTGGTGACATATATGTGACAGTTTAGTTTTTAAAATTTTTCTTTTTTAGTTTTGGTGGAAAATGAAAGTACAAAATCACAATTTTAGAAAATTTTGTTAATACCTCTTCGCTTTATTTCCTTGTGAGGTACAAGGACCGGTGCATGTATTAAACCAACATTGTGAATTTTTGTAATGAAAGTAAACAATTGATGATTTTTGATAATTTTGTGAATACGCATCACTTTATTTCCTTGTTAGGTATAAGGCTGTGCATGTATTAACACGCAAATTGTGAATTTTCTATAATAGAAATCAAAAATTAAAATTTTAGAAAATTTTGTGAATATTTCCTCATTTACTTCCTTGTGAGATACAAGGATTAGTGCATGCATTAACAATGAATTTCTGTAATAAAATTGAAATATCATAATTTTTGAAAATTTTTTAAATATTCCCTCACTTTGTTTCCTTGTGAAGTACAAAGACTAGTGTATGCATTAACACTAATATTGTGAATTTCTGTAATGAATGCATATTAAATAAAGATATGAAAATTAGATTACAGATTCTTTTATTTTTGAGATTTTCTACCTTAAATTTTTACACTACTTTTATTGGTTTTTAATTTTTGTCACTAATGAAAATAAAAGAATTACAAATATTTCTTATTGGTGCCTGTGGATATTTGGATTTGTGCGTTCAATATTTATATTCGTTGTTTTTAATTTTGGTGAGAAATCAAAAGAAAGAATCACGATTTCGAAAGTTATATATATATAATCTTTTAATTTATTTCTTTAAATATGCATCAGCCAGACATCATGGATGAATACAGGACATTTATCACATTTATTAGTGTCTTTTTTTATTTTGGATTTTCTTCAATAATTAATATTTATATAAGAAAAACTATATAAAAAAAAAAATCAGTTAGTATAATTTCTCTTTAATTATGGCAAATATGACTGTATAAATTCAAATTATACGTCAAAAAATTTTATGGGGATCTCTTAAATTATTTCTATTTCAGCAACAGTCAAAAGTCATATATATACGTGGGACAATGTCAAAGTAATAAACATCTTTTTTTTTCCTTTTAGATTTTACCAGTAATTAATATTTATGAAAGAGTAAAAATATAAAAAAAAGTATTAGCCTCAATTAACATAATTTCACTTCACTTATGGTAAGTGTTCTAGCATAGATTCAAATTTTACAGGGCAATAAATAATTTTCTTCTAAAATAGTTATCGTTTGTTGTTCAAAACCATCAAAAATTGTAATTGAACTTATTTTCTTATCTTTCAATTTCTCTCTCACCCTCCCTCACCCCAATTCTCTTTGTTCTTAAATATGGATTTTCTTTGTTATGAAATT